TTTTGCCTGCAGATTTTTCCCTAAAATCACCACAGAAAAGTCTGCCGTTTTCTTCTGAGCCCATTAACATTGTGGCTTTCAGCAAGGCACTTAACTTTAGGTTGTCCTTGGAATAAGAAACCTGTAGGTTGCTTTGGATAAAAGCATCTGCCTTACTAACCTCATGGCACTGAGGATGTAAGGAACACATGACCATGATACTTTTACTGGGAATGCCCGCAAAACTCATCTATCCAGGTCCCTTGTTGCAAAACACTGCAAAATACAGCACTGATAAGCCCATGTTTTTTTTTTTTTTTTAAGTCAAGATCACTATTATCCTTATGTGTATGTCTACTGAACCATGGACGGGACAACTGGCATTCAGCACTTCACAAATTCAAAGTTTAGGGTTGTTAAGAATTATGTTTTTGAAAGAAGACTCATGTTCACCAAAGCTGTGTTTATTTACAGTAAAAATAGTAATATTGTGAAATGTTATGACAACTGTTTTCTATTTTAATATATTTAGCCATCAGTCCAGTCTTCAGTGTCACATGATCCTTCAGAAATCATTCTAATATGCTGATTTAATGCTCAAGATACATTTATTACTATAATCAATGTTGAAAACAGTTGTGCTCCTTAATATTTTTGTGGAAACTATGATACATTTTTTTCCAGCATTCTTTGAAGAATAAAATTCAAAACAACACCATTTATATGAAATAGAAATCAAATTTAAAAAAACATTAAGAATCTTACTGACCCCAAACTTTATATTACACATAAACTACATATTTCTGATATGTGTTTCTTTAAGACTACTGCTGCCAATCTGTAGCTCAGCCAGACTCTGGCACAGTTAAGCAATGATGGAATATGTGGGTAGCAAGAAAACTTTTTCAGGCGGCCTGTATTTTGGAAATCTGTAATATAGCTGACAGTTATTAGAGTGAATGAGAAAAACAGCTGATGATTCAGGAAAACACTGAAAATTCAACCGTGACTAAGATAACACCACACAGATGTGAAGGAGCTCATAACATCATCAAACTGATATTGTGGAATCACATTGACTATTTTAGGCAATCCTGCCGTATGGACTCTTTTTTCAGGCCGTGTCAGCATAGAGTTCTCAGGGGGGTGGAGGACTACCCACTTTAGTCTCCCAGCCTGGTCATTTATGTCCTCCGGTGACAGAGCGAGCACCCATACATCAGCTTGAGCTGTCTGTGCCTCTGTTGTGACAAGAGTGGGGGTGTTTCATTTGTAGGCCTGCCACTGTTTGCTCACAGGGCAGCCAGGGGAGAAGAGGAGGGGCCAGACCCAGCATGGTACACACTTAATGGGTGTCCTCACTGCGGCTAAAGCGTTGGGGGGAAGGCCGCACTGGACCTGAACGTTTATTTTCGAAGGACTAATGAAAATAGAGTAGGGCTTATTGTCAGTGTTGGTAGCTGATGTATTGTCTTTATTATCTTAATGGAAATATTCTTAAGAACAGTCTTGGTAGGGCTGTGCATCTTACTCATCAAGTGAGTTTTTTTTATCATGTTCATTTATTAGAAGCAACTGCATTGTGGGAGAAAACCTGTGAATCTGTCACATAATGGCTTTGCATCATAATACGTAATGGACCAATCAAAGACGTGCTACTGCATAAGGATGGAAAGATGTTTAACCCTCTACCGCATGGTGTGGCCATATGGCAACATACTCGTTGTGTTCATTTCCTTGCCACTGTCTCTTTAAGAGAACAATCTTGGTTGTTTTTTTCTTCTTTTTGTTGGAAAGAGAAGACCTTAGTTTAGCCAGTGATGTGCTTTGGTTAAGTCACATGACATGTAGTTTTTTTTCTGTGGTGAGATTTCTGACAGACTGCCGTCTCTTGTCAGTAGTTAAGCAAACTAAAACGTCAGTAACAAACAAGGACCAGTCCGTGTCACTTCTACAAAAAAATCGGAAACATCACTGTTATGAGTCATGTTCATAGTCTCATGTTCATAGTCTTCCTCTCATAAGATTGTGTAAGATTGTGTAATGCTGAATTTTCATGAACTGCAATGTTTTTGGTTTTATGTCAATGTTTTATGATACATGATGATATACAGTATATATTTGTTTTAACCGTATACATTTGCAATTTAAATAATATTCATGAAAAATGTAATGCAATTCAAAAATTATAAATCATTATTCAGCAAAAAAGAATGGAATAAATAAAAGCACAAGTTGTTGGAAAGTATGTATAAGGTGTCAATTATACTGTAAGTATTGTGTTAAAGCTTATAATAGCACCAATTGAATCAACACAAACAACATTTCTGAGGAAAAATATTAATTATAAGTAAGCTTACACTTATTCTAAGTTAGATCCACTATAGTATGCTGTTGCCGTATGGCAACATATCATAAAGTACCTTAAAATAATATTTTTTTTTCCAATTTTTTTTTTACAGCACTTCAAGTTAAGCCATTCTTAGAAAAGAAAAAGATTCAAATATTTTTTTCTATAGGTCTATCATAATGCGTGCGGTATTAATAATGAATTTTTGTGGTAATAAAAATAGATGTAAGTGAACAATAGCCTTTAAAATTACTTAAAATACATATATAATAGCAATGAGGCAATAATAATTAGTTCAAATAAAGTATCAAAAGCAAGAAATCATATGGTTTTATTAAACAAAATATAAAAATACATAATGTATTATAAACAATAGAGCTAATGTACATTACGCATTACAACAAAGGCCTGCAGAGGGCGCCAACGGCCTGACCATTGTTTTTACACATTACTGTGCGATCTCTATCGATCTAAATTTACCAAGCACCATTTCATTCAAATGTCCACTTAATCTTTAATATTTGGCTATTTCTTTAGGACAGAAATGCTATAGCCACTGTAATTGAATGAATATGTGGACATCAAAACGTGTAAACTGAGAGTGAGGGTTTGAGCTTTTATTTTGAAACCGCGATGTATTCTCCTGTGTTTGCGTAGATTTATAAATGGTTTACCTCACAAATCTGATGAAATGGCGCATGTTGCGTTCCCAGATGAACGTTATAATAAACCCAAACTCACAACAACATGCAGAGATGGAGTTTGAGACGCTCCACACATGTAAATAATAACAGTTCCTGTGGAACTACTGTGAACGGAGCCGCTGTGTGACGCACGTCCTTAACCTACACGCATGCAAATAATTAAAGCGCATATACTGTATTAGAACTGCATTGCATATAATTATTTAAATCATAGCGTTTGTGAATTCACAATTATGCTTAATTATTTTAAATGGGTTTAGTATATCATGCAGCCTTGGAAAACAGACTAATAATGTGTTTTATACATTCTCGTCTGTGAAATGCGCCACTTCCGGCATTTTGCCGGTTAGTCGACGGAGCAAAATGAAGTCGAGGGTTTTTAAAAATCGAATAGTCGCATAAAATCGACGAATCGCGACAGCCCTATTCCATTGTCATTCAATGTAAAACTTATAGTTATGTAAAAATTCAAACAACATGCTTATTCTGACCTGTACATATTAAAATATATAAAAGAAGAAGTGAGAAAATTTAATTTTATTGGGTTAAAAAATTCTTACTGACAAATGGGCAAAACCTAGGATAGTGGCATAATTATCTGGATTTCCATTTTAAAAGTTTTTCAGATGATTTCTGAGGAAGACGTTGAAATTTTATATTTTTTAAAAAAACTCACCCTCATGTTGTTTCAAACTTATGAATTTCTTTCATATTAATTTCTTCTGTGGCACAAAAAAAATTTCACTTAGGCAGAATTTTAGGTACAGTTTTAGTCGACATTCATTCCCCCCCATTCAATGATAGTGAACAGGTTTGGAGTAAATGATGACAGGCTTTTACATTTTAAGGTGAAAACTGTGTGTGCTGCCCTTACTTGTAATCTATGATGGTGACATGGTCAGATGGGATTCCTAGAACTGCACAGCTCTCAAGCAGTTCCCTTTTGCGCTGTAGTCCTTGACTGTTGTAATTGCCTGAGCATTGCAAAAACATTTTAAGTGTCTCTTTTATTTTATTCAAGCATCCCAAACACTTCAGAAGTTCAAATTTCTTTTATTTAATCAGTTCAGCACATACAGTATTTGTACAAATTGCATTATTAAACAACATATATTTGCAAGATCAAGGTAAACATTTTCTCTTTTTTATATAAATAACCAAGAATTTTCATTACAACTGAAAAACGATTCAGGTTATGGTTACGGTTATGAGTTTATTTTCGGACTAGTAAACCTACCTGTCGACAAACATAACAAATAAACAGCTGCTTGTGATTCAACAAGTTTTAAGACTGTAGGTGCAAAGAACATGCATTCATCATCTGGATGTGCAGTGACTAACAGAGCTCGAGTCTCGCTGGCTGTAACGCGCGGCTTGGCTTCTCCTGAGTTCCGTAAGAGCGCGCTGGACCTCTCGTGAGTTGGACAAAAACTCGCGTTTCCAGCGGTGTATAAAGGAGTGGATATTTTATTCCGTAAGTGTGGCCATAATTGACTGTATCTGTAATACACAAACTTAATAGAAATAGTGTAAGCCACAAAGACAAATATGATGGTAACGATAACGAACATCTCGACCGCGCCATGAAAGAGTCCGTGTGGAACATCTTTTCCTGACCAATGGTTCCTATAGACCTGCAGAGCGAATTGTTTACAGGAAAAAAAAACTGTTATTGTAGAAAACTTTAATATTATTTATATTTCCAATCTACATACCGCATATAATTTTGATGTGCCAAAAAAGGCACAACTGCATGACAGAATTGATGAAATGATCTTTAACGAATATCTTAGTTGGAATAATTTCAAAGGCGGAAGCATATGTAAAACAATTATTAATACGGGAATCGGGTCTTTTCTAAAAGACGATTTTGAATAAAACATCTCTTTCCTGTAATTCTGGCATAACAGTAATATAAGGAGACTGAGGTTTGGGTGGGGTGAAGGGCGCCTGTGGGGAGAGTTTGAAAGTCACACCGTTTCATCCTGTTTGCTTGAGAAAAACTCTTTCGCTTCGTCTCCTCAGGTGCACCAGAGCTGCGCAAAATGCAAGCCACCGGGCATTCAATAAGAAGAACCCGGTACACTTGTGACGCATATTAATTTCTGGCGCAGAATCATATAGAAAGCGACTTGAATTTATATCCACGACTCAGTGAGGACAAATAACTAGCCTGTGTTTGTGTGTGAGTGCTCGCGCAGTTTCACTGCCGACGAATTCCATTACCGCACAGACTCGCCTTTCAGCGCTTATTGGGGTGTCTCTAAGGACATGAGGTGAGTGTATTATTTAATGTGAATATTTTGGCCGCTTTGTGGTGAATTACGCGCAGGCTAGTGAGAACTGAGCGCTTATGTTCAAGATGGCGACGCGGGTTTGAATGCAAAGGTGAAACATTCAGCTAACGGCGAACAGCTAACCTTAGAATCAGATGCTCTCTTTTGCAGTTGATTTGGTTGATCTCTGTGTAGCCGAGGCATTTATGTTATGTATGTGGTTTCCGGTTAAATAGTTTTCCTCGTATGATCTAACAGTAGCTTCCTGGCTAACGCCATTAATGTGAGTTTATACCATAGCCTGGAGTTTACAGAAAATCATCACTAATAAAGTCTGCTCTTTCAAATAACACATGAGCTGCTACTTCTCATACATGTGGTATCCTGTTCTTGCATGTAAAACACTAAACGGTCTGTAAATTCATGCTTGAAACGAGAATAACAGAGTGCTGAATGTGAAACCTGCTCCATGTATGTGTCAGTTTTGCTGCCTGGAAATTACATAAAGTTTGGACTTGTGCACCTATATATGTTTAACAACTAATGACCGTTCTTTGCAACATTATCAACCTTAAAGATCACACATGCTGATGACACATGGCATGCTTGGAAGAAAGTATCTGTTAGACAAAATTTTTAATACACATATATCTAAATATTCATATATTGCCCTTCTTCCCCTTTCAGTTTAGCACCCCTATACACACTTAATGCATAAGCACTCAATTTGTTTGCTCTCAAAGTGGGTTCATAATAGAACACATATATTAAAGGGAAAATACCTTCCAGCATTTTAGTTCCAACCACCAACCCCTCATGACTAGTTAGTAGGGGTGGGCAATATGGCAAAAATATCATATCACGTTTTTTTTTCAGAAATATCACGATTCTTTGTCATGTTGGTTTTACTATTTTGCAAGTTGTCTGAGCAGTACAGCCAAACTAATTTCCCGTTTTTTAAAACAAAGCCTTTCAAGGTAACAAATGTATAAATTACAAAAAGAATGGTAGATATTTAGGCCAAAATGGGCGAAGATGAAAATCTTTGTCATTATTGTAACTTTGTTATTAAAAAAAATAAGAACAAAGATACACATTACAAATAAACATAATACGAATAAAACAAACAGTGCTTTATTTTTCAGGTACAGTAGGTGTATTTAGCAGTATTGAATTAACAAATATAAAAAGTGAAAAACTATATACTTGTACACTATATACTAGGGGTTGCATCGACTAGTCGACTTCAATGCCCTGCCATGACGCTTTAAGCTTGACGTCGACTAGTCGCTGGTCCTATAGAGGGCGCAACAGGATAAGAAATCTTTGAAGGACTTCCACATTTACGCTCCGTTTCCAAACAGTTCAAATGACAAATAAATGCATACTCTGAAAGCGCTCCACAAGACATGTGTAATTATATTACTGGATGCTCGAAATTGAACGGGAGAATGCACATTTTAAACGGCTTATTGTACAGGTAAGTTAATCACCGTTCTAATCTAATGTGCTGCTGCACTGTAACACACACACATAGGCTACAGACAGTAGCGCGTACATCACGCGCACAGAATCATTCAGCGCGGAAATGTATTGTCAACCCATTTCTCATTGCAGTTGGTTTTTATAAGCGTTGGCTAATGTGCTGGCTGAGGGACAGTGGAGTGGAACACAGGATGTGTAACTGTTGTGCTGCCGTGTCTGTGGCCAAGCGTGGCACAGTAATGCTAGTGAGCAAGCAAGCACTGGAAAATACTCCGAGGCAAGCTGCCATGTTGACTCTGAGTTTTGGAGGGGTTTCATTCCTATTGTGACTTTTAAATATCCTCTCACTCATCCGTCATGATAAAATTGTTGTTTTAAATAATCTGATTATCAGTTAACTGATTATCATGTTCAAATGACAAGGCTACACTTGGTGTTTTGTTTTGTTGCAGAGCAGTGCCTGTGAAGGCTATTGTGGTTTAAGTGTTGTTTGTAGAGATGTTCAAGGACTCCAAATCTGTACGAGACACATAGATACCAAGAAATGTGTTAAAGTCGGCAGGAAATGCAAATTCACCCTATATATTTTCTAGATGCATATTAATGATCTTATTGTGAATGATTCATACATGCATATGTTTCTTTTTGTTTCTTATTTTTTTTAAATGCAACCTCTTAATTTTTCATTAAAAAATGTCATAGCTGGATTTTCCGGTCCAGACCTTCATATCTGCCTCCAATACACAGTTTTTTTTCCTTCAAGAAAAGACCATTGACACATTTTAATTGGAGAGGAGAATCATGATGTCACTGTTCTCCTGATTTCAAATCCGGGTGTTTCAGAAGGGTAAAAAAAGAATAATTCATATTTTAACTTGAGTTAATTTTGAGTTTTGAAGCTTGCAGTATGTTTTTATTGAGTAACCTCTTATATGTGTAAATATCAAGAACATTTTGGTTCTCCATCTTATGACCCATTTAAAGGGGATAGTTCATTCAAAAGTGCTGTCATCATTTAGCTCACCTTCATGTTGTTCTAAACTTGTATGCCTTTCTTTCTTCTGTGGAATGTAAGAGAAGATATTTTGAAGAATATTGGACAGCATTAGCTTTTAATTGTATGGAGGAAAAAACACTGAGACACTGAGATGTTCTGCTGAAGAAAGTAAGTTTTGTGATTGAAGTTTAACTTTTCGGTGAACTATCCCTTTAAGATAAGCCAGTAGAGAGACTCCCTCTGGGAGAGTTTGCCATTTAATTCTGATCTATGTTGATCCTCCTCTTCCCTAATGTAATCTTGACCATCCAAACTGATCTCAGATCATTTTTAAAGTTAAGTTTATACAGTAAGCTTCTCCAGCGCAAATGAATGTGGATCTTTCAGAATTTTTTTTTTTTTTAAAAGAGTTTTGTCTTTGCTTGACACATCATGTCCATGTAGTGGTGTTGATGGGGCCAAATGATATCAGTGTGACAGATGTTTCTGACAAATCCTGGATTTTGCAGGATGTGGGAGTGTCATGCTTTCTGTCTGCTCTCTTGTGCTGAATATTTAGCTTTTGCCCAGTGTTTCATCTAGAGATCGACCGATATATCGATTTACCGATATTTTTCCCGATATTTAAGCATTTTACCGTAATCGGATATCGGTTTGTAATATTGGATTCACCGATAAATGCCGCCATCTTGTGGGTGTTTTGAGAATTGCACGCAGGATCGCCGTTGCAGCGCATCTGAGGGGAGACGAGACAACAACGACGGCATGGTGCAGGTACTTGATTTGCTGTAGTTAGTAAACTTTATTTAACATAACAGCCATTTATGCACAAATTAGATGCATTACATAAATGCCTGATATGTAGTTTATGCAGCTTGGCTCTAAGAAATAGAGACCAACTCACGGAGTCATGTAAAATAATCTGTCAAGTCCTGTCCCAATAAAGACGTAACTTTGCATGAGTTAAATAATACAGCCATAAATGAGCGCATGTTGGAAATAAAAGCGCTGAATTGAATTCTCTCTCTGTTGCCTGCTCATCGTTAGTATCGTGAAGTCGGAGTCCCGTAGATAATCCGTCAAGATCCTCTCCCAATAAAGACGTAACTTTGCATGAGTTAAATAATACAGCCATAAATGAGCGCATGTTGGAAATAAAAGCGCTGAATTGAATTCTCTCTCTGTTGTATATTTGCTCATCATTAGACTCGTGAAGCCGCTTTCATATTGCTGTTTACTCACCGGGTTGATGCTCAGGAAATGCCCCAGCACGGCCACCGGATGTAACTTTTAACAAGATTCACTTGTTTAAAATACCCTAAATTGTATTAACATTTACTATATAACCAATATTTCGCTAATAAACATCTAAATAAATACAACTCTATGGAAATTAATTATTTATTATCTCCGTACATTAGACATTTATTTTTCTTATTGTCAATATTAGTGTTGTTGCTGTTGATGCTTTTTATAAATAAGATTTTTTTTTATTGTTGTAGTATGACGATTAATTTTAACATGAATGACTGCTAATTTTCAACACTTTAAAAAAAAAAAAAGATGACTGAAAAGAGGAAAAACCAAAGTGAAGTATGTTCTTACTTCACTCAGTCATTTATTTACTTTATAACAGTAAATCAATATCGGTTCTGCATATCGGTTATCGGGCACATAAACATGCAAATAATTGGTATCAGTATCGGTTATAAAAAAATCAATATCGGTCGATCACTAGTTTTATCGTCAGGTTTAATTAATAAATGACGTTTTAGTTTTTGGTGAACTCTGCCTCAGTGCTAGTTTAGTGCTATTCACTTTGTGCATAGCTTTTGATTTAGCCTGAGACATATTTTGTGGGGAAGTGATGACATAAAGTTATATTAATGGCATGAATGGAAGCAATAAGATGGAGGTGCATGTTGATGAAAGAATGACAAAAAGGTATAAAAGTGAAGCGTGGACATATCACACAATATTTCTGCTGTATCTCCTCCTGATTAGGCCGTGTTCTTGCTCAGGCTCTGACAGATAAGCATTTGGAAGTGTGTATGGAAAATCCCATCCACGCACACTCTGAACGGAGGACCAGTCGGCCCGCTCCAGTCATGGAGATTCCTGCTGACTGATTTGGATATGCAAACAGACTCACATGTTGGTAGATGGGACAGAGGTCTGGATTGTGTATAGATGCATTACCCGTGATCTCTAAAAGGCAAATAACTGCTCTTGACCTTTTGACCTGATATGAAAAGGTCTTCGTGAAATGCACTAAATATTTATTTTGAGGATATACAAAAAATGCATTCTAGCTAATAGTTAAACGAAATGGTAATACATGCACATGTATGGTTCAGCGTTTGCTCTGATGTTAATGCATGACTTGCATTACTTGCAATGCGTGACTTGAATAGAGGAACAGAAGTTGGATTAGCCCAGCTGTTATTGGGTTTACAGGTTTTCCATGATAATGGAAAACTTGTGGATTGTGCTTCCAAAGGCTTCTGTGGTTTACTGTAGCATCTTCTGTTGTTGCATTTTGCTGGTGTGTGTCGTGTATCAGGAGAGGTGGCTGCTGTCCAGTCGCAGATAGCACTGGCACTGAGCAATAAGGTAAACGGGTGTGCTATCTCAAGACATTACATCGAGAAACAGCACTGAGTCAGCAAATGCTGTGCACATATCCATGTCACCCTTAGATTGCATTTAGGGTTTAACAGAAAATGCATGAAAATGAGCCATCCGTTTGTTTCTGTGTCATTCAGTCAGTCTACTGCATACTCTCGTAATATGCTAATGCTAATAATTACTTGGCAAAGGTCTTGAAGCAGTGTTTACTTGAGAAATAATTGAGAACTAGATGACATTGTTTTAATGTTTACATTAATATTTAAAGGTTCACTCAAAAATGAAAATGCTACTCGCTCTCATGTTGTTCCAAACCTGTATGACTTTCGTTCTTCTGTGGACCATAAAAGAAGATATTTTGAGAAATGTCCATACAGTGCAAGTCAAAAACTGTTCTCCCAAAAATCATCTTATGTGTTCCACAGAAGAAAATCAGTCATAGAGGTTGTGAAATAGAGGTGCTGTGAAATTTTACTGCTATTGTTAAGTACTGAAATTTGGTATGGTTCCTTGAGTTGTGAAGTATGTGAAATTTTTTTTAGCCTAAAAATCATTAAAAAACAACTTAGGGATGCACCGAATGTTCGGCAACCGAAATTAAATTATCAAAAAGACCGAATAAATTGTACC